CTCAATATTTTGGAGAGCAAACAGATCAGAATATACAAATACATTAAGCAGGTATAGTCATTTTTAGTTACCTTTTTAAAGTTTCTACCTTATCTGTATTATTTTTCTGGTCTCAGATGGTTAAATCTGATTAACCAGAGTTGATAATGTTCTGTTAACTTTTAAAAGAAGATAGATAGTATTCCCATTCACAGTACTTTCTGAGTAAAAGACAAAAGATATCTTGACTAGTATAAAAAAAAATTACTCATTCCTACTAGAGTATCTTATTCAACATTGATGATTTTGGCTGGGTTTTTCCCCCTTTGATTGTTCACTATATTGCATACTTGGAGAATCATAATTACCTGACAAGACACATAATATTATACATGACTTTTCTTTTTAAAAAGCTCAATTTTGAGAAAAGTTAGTCTTACACGCTTATTTCAAACCTTTTTTTACTGCTTTTGATAGTAGAGTTCAACTCTGGCAATCACTAAGAAAACTTGAATACTACAGAAACTAATATGTTATATGGCTCATTTGTAATTAAACAAAGAAGATTACGACTCCTAGTGTTATTTCTTTATTTTGTTATAATGACACTTGATGGTGTAACAACAGCAAAAAAGGCAAGCACTTTTGTATTATAACTTCATACCATGGAGGGCTATGAGCCTTTTAAAGTTCTAGGAGTGTTTAGCCAGGACTACTGAATACTGATGACTACTCCTGTTACGTATCTTAAATTTCATATAAATATGTTTTAAGATGGTTTGTATTTTCTCATTTCTTTGTTAGAGCCAAATACCACAAGTTGAAATATGGGACAGAATTGAATCAGGGAGATATGAAGCCTCCAAGCTATGATTCTGGTAAGCTAATTTTAAAGGAAGTTTAAGTGATAAAAAGAAATTAATTGTCTAGTATTTCGTAGCAGCAACATTTAAAAGTTAATTTATAATTATTTGCATGTTAGTTATTTTTTCTGACCTGCTTATCTTTTGGCACTAATCATTAAGTGTCATTTAGATCATTTTCCACTACCTTCCTTCCTTTTCCATCTTCCCCTTTCTTTTAGTTCCCCATTTTCTGCTTATGTTCTGCAATTACTGGAAGGATCAGAATTCATGGGGTAACACGCACCAACATAACCTTGTCTTGCTGGGTCTGCCCAGCATTAATGGGAACTTTGAGATGTGCAGTACAAAGTACATCATGCCCTTGAAATCCTGAGAAAGAGTAGTAACTATGGAGGTAAGAGATTTCTTCTTAAAGCACAGGGGGATTCCTAATTCTTCAGTTTCAGGTACAAAATTCTTTTGGACTTTCTTATCCATAGGAGGTTGTATAACTACAATATGTTTTAACAACTGAAATATTTATTATCTTTTTGTGTTATTTCTTTTTCCTTCTTCTACTTTCCTCTTCACGCCACCAAATGATAAAAATAGTACTTATAAACAATTTAGATATTAAGGAATATAGATACAGTTCATTTATTAGTAGGTGTAAGGGAAAAGTGAAAAAAATTGTTCAAAATTTATCACCATGTTTCAGATGAGTGTATTTTTGGCATAATTTCAGATTAAATTCTTCTGTCAAATATCTGAAGATATTAATGATCATTTATATCATTTACCAGAATACCTACCTTGTGCTACAGTCTTTATGTGTATAACTTTAATTTTAAAATAGTTATTCAATAAAGACA